GGGGGGGGGGAACAGACCTTGTGGGGGGCGGCAGTTCACACTTGTGTGTGAAATGAATGGGTGTTTCCACTTTACAACAAAACAGCTTTCAAGAAGAGCCTTTGCAGGACTGGAGCATGCAGTATGCATGGACGAAATGCCTATGAATGTGAAAATGAAGTGCCAAATCTTGTGCATCTAATATACACTAATGAAAAAACTAAAAAACCCCAAAAATACAACAAAAAATTTGAGAGCTGTTAAGAATACAGACACTGGCTTAGAGACTTAGTGAGAAAGCCTGCCTCGAAGTAAGAAAGAGAGCTAAGGCCAGTCCTCGGTGCAAATGCCCTGCGTTCAATCTCCACTATTATGCAGAACAAAAAACTACGGGATGTTTGTGTGAAGAGAAAGTGTAGTCTCTCAGTTTATAATCCAGCATCTGTGACTACCCATCCTGACCGCTAGACCATTTATGCAGGGTTTTCTGAGGAGCAAGGATTGAGAGTTCCACTGGCCTCAAAACTCAGCAATCAGCAATATGTAGTTCAGACTGGCCTCAAAACTCAGCAATCATCCTGCCTCAGCCTCCCAAGTGCTGGGATTACAGGTTATATATACCGCACCTGGCACTACATGCAGTTTTTTAAAGTAGTTTGAATCTTAGTCTACATAGTTTTACTGATACCTATAACAGACCACTAAGGTCAAAACATATGCACGTTAATATTACATGCTTGTATACATGATGGCATAGAACAATTCTGTGTTCTTCAAAATGAGTCAGCTTTCTGGGTTGAATACTTCTAAACAAAACTCAGTTTATCAAGATGCCCTCAATGTTTCAAAATCCAAGCTCTAAAGAGAAAGCACTGGGTTTATTCAGTATGAACCTCCTTTTACTAAGAATACTGAGCTGTGTATTTTGTATTTTTAGCTGTTTACTATTTCTAAGCACAAGTGGCTACCAATCAGTCTGAAGAGTATTGAAAGAAGCCTGCTCTAAGCTTCTATACAGATTTTCCAGAGACAGAGTCTCACTGTAGTTCATGCTGGCCTGGAATTTGCAGTGAGCCCTCTTTGCCTCAGCCTCCCAAGTGCTGGGATTACATGTGCCACCACGCCCAGCTTTTATCTATATTTAATGCCTTAAAGACAGTTCACATTTAATATATGGTACCAAAATAAAACTGATCTCTTTAAATTTTGAGAAATTTGGCTTTTTCCGTAAGTGCATCAGTTATTAAATGAAAAACTGAGATGTTGCACTGAGACTTAAAATATCAAAGAATGTTTACAATCATATTTAAAAAACCAAAGATATGGCCAGGGAGATGGCTCAGTGGAATAAGCACTTCCCTGGCAAGTGTAAGGGCCTGAGTTCAATCCCCGGTCCCGCAAAAAAAAAAAAAAAAAAAAAAAAAAAAAAAAAAACCCCAAAGATACTGCTATGCAAAAGTTCCTTCCTTCTATCACAGAAAAGCAGTCTGGAGAAGGACTGGGGGCTGCCGGTCTCCCAGCCACAATTCCTCACCTTTTCCCCTTCAACCACATCAAACTCCACTGTCTCTCCATCTCCCACGCTGCGCAGATACTTGCGGGGGTTGTTCTTCTTGATAGCGGTCTGTCAAGGAAAAACACAATTCTATGTCAGGCACAGACTTCCACATCAGCCCATATGAAATGACCACACTGCTGTCAAGTAGCGGGAGTGTTAACCTGGAGAAACTGTTCACCTAGTACTTTTAAATCAGCACCGTGGGGCAGGGGAGATGGCTCAGTGGAATAAGAGCTTTTCCCTGGCAAGCGCAAGGGCATGAGTTCAATCCCTGGTTCCGCTAAAAAACAAACAAAAACAACAACAAAAACAATAAATCAGCACTGTCTCACGAACCAATTGTCTTCTAAACAAAAGGACACAGATAAGAATGCCATCTGGAATGGAGGCCGCCTCAGTGGTGGGTTTGTGCTAGTCTTCAAACTTCCACCTTCAGTGTGAGAAACAGTTACTACAAACTGCCCTGATCAATTTCTGATAGTGAACAGTTATGTTAAGCTATTAAGCTGCATCAGCAAAGAAGGAAAACAGCTTTATGAGACTTTACACTTAAAAATATTCATTTTGTGTACAAGAGAAACTGCTAGATTCAAAGTTATTTTTTAAAACGTATTTAGGTCAGGGTCTACAGGGTCTCACTATGTAGACCGGACCCCATGGTGATTCTGTTTTCAGGCTCCCAAGTTCTGAGATTATAGGCGCTGTCTCAGCGTGCTCCGCAGATGGGGCCAGCACAGCACAGCACGCCAGGGGATCGGACATCCCGCCCTTGTGTTTGTCTAAGCAGAGGCCCTCAAAGTAATTTTTGAGCATGCTTGGTGTTCAGGGTCAGCCTCAACTACATAATGAGACTGTTTCCAAAAAAAAGTATAGGTTGCAGGGTGTATGATAAACAGAAAAAGGAATTTCAAAAATGCCAGAGGACAAATAGCTCTGATAGAGCACGCATGATGACCTCAGAAATCAAAACATATCAGTGCTGGGTGCCATGGCACACACCTATAACCCTGGGTAATTGGGGAAGCTAGGATAAAAAGATCACAGGAGCAAATCCCGCCTTGGCAATTTAGCAAAACTACTTTAAAATAAAAAGGGTTTGCCTAGCAAGTGGGAGCTCCTCAGCTGAACACCCAGTACTGGAAGGAAAAAAATCGCGAGATAATCCAGCCTCTCCCCTATGGTCCCATCTGATGGTCAAGGCAACAGGAGGGGCTAGGGGCTAACAGGCAATTGATCTGAAGTCATAGGAGCACAGCCCCACAAAATCCATATCCCGGTGCTTTTCCTGCGTTTATTCAACCTGTTTCTTTTTATACAGATTAATATTCCAACTGACAGGTTTTCTGATCATTCATACATTAAAAGATTAATGAAGATGTTACATGCCTATGAAAAGGCCTTTCTTTTTTCCAATCAAGCGAAGGGAGTCATTCCTGAAACCAATTTCCATTTCCTGGGCCAGCATCTCCTAAACAGTTAAAGGGGCTCTGAGTTTGGCTGGAAGTAGGTCAGCCTTACTTTATAAAGAGATTAGGCATGTGTAATCCAGCCCTTCCCCTACTCTGAGTAGGAGGGAGAGAAAAATACAAGAGCGAGCCAACAGGAAGAGCGAGCCAACAGAGCAGAGCCTCGCCCACGGAGAAGAGGCAGCCCAGGACAGGATGTGTGCGTATGCAGCGGGGGCCCACTGCCAGCCAGCCTCTCCAAACAGCCCCTCCTTGCCGCCCGGCCCTCTTTCCTGTTAGACTGGGCAGGCCTGGGCACACTGTCGTGACTCACTGCCCCAGCTCCTGGGTGGAATCGGGTCAGACTCACGACTGCCCCTGCAGGACCTCTCTACTCCAGTGGGCAGCAGTTGGGAGTCATGAATAATACATTCACTTCGACTGTGAAGGTCCCAGAGATACCCCCCCCTGCACATCCCAATTAAGTCAAATGATCTACATGCACTACAATTCTATATTCAGTATAAAGACATCCATTTGGTCAAGCAGAAATATAAAGGATCAAAACCACAAGCAGAGGGGGCAGGCCAGATAGCTCAGTGGACTAAAATGCCTGCTTAGGCAGACTCAGCAGAAGGGGTTTGATCGCAGCATGCCATGACAGCCTTGCCCCTGGGGCATGTTTGAGACGGAGACTGAGACTGGGGGGGGGGGGGGCCCACACCTGTGATCCCAGTGCTTAGGAGGCTGAACACAGGCGGATCACCAAGAGTCTGATCTACATAGTGAGACCCTACAGACCCTGTACTAAATACATTAAAACATAAATAAAACACAACAATGAATATGCAGTTCTAATTTTGGAAAAAGAACATTTTATAGGCATCTCTCCACATGCAGCAAAAGGTAATATTTCTTAAGCCATCTTACCTGATGTACAAATACGTCTTCTTTGGTGTCATTTCTGTTGGGGGAAACCAAAACTCAGTTAAAGGAATAGGTACAGAAACCTAACAGAGCAGATGTGTTAGGAACTTACAAGAGCTAGAAAAACAAATTTCTTATTTATCCTCTAAACTCAATTTAGACTTCTAATATCCATCCTCATTAAAAACCTGTAACTGGACAAGACACCTACCTTATCCTCCGCGTTAACCACGGTACCTTAACTTAAGATAGGATTCAGCATAGAGAAACATCCCTTTCTTCGCCTGTCTCTTTCTTAATCACATGGTATGTAATCAGAGCCCTGGATTTTTTTTTTTCCTCCCAGCAAAAGCAAAGCAAGACAGCTAAAAGGCAGGGCACAGCTGTGAACTAAGCTCTTCTTACACTGAAACCTAAAACAGCCATCCCTCTACCCCACCCTCCCAAAACACAAGGAACCAACTAGAAGGTGTCAAAGGAGGAAAAAGCATAGAAAACGATAACATCCTGAGAAAACACCCACATTCTCCCTAGGGTTTGCAGCTGCCCGTGTTCCCATAGTCAGTGTGAAAATGATATGTGGACAGTTGGAAGGAGCTACCACCATAAGCTTAGAGAAATCACTGGTTTCCTCACAAGACTCGGCTGGCTGGCCAAGGTCCCAAGATCCAGCCCCACTACTGTTAGTGTGACCTCAGGAAAGTTGCTTAACCAGTGAGACTCATCTCTCCTGTAAAGTTATGGATGTGGACTCAATTTATTCCAAGGCTCTTCCCATTTCTGATTTTATTTTTAGCTACCCTCTTTAGATACCAGCCTACTTATTACACTTCTAGAAATGTCTTTTAATTGTTATTTAATGACAATTAGCTTAGACAGAATATTTACAGTGCTTAGGTTATCTTCAAACTCACACAATCCAGTAACAAAGATAAAGAATTGATAACTGCTGGTGCCACAACATGAGCATACATTTTTAAAAGACACAGAAATGCACGTACCGATTTATAAATCCATATCCATTTCTGACGTTGAACCATTTAACAGTGCCGAGGACTTTGGTGGCTGAAATAGGATTAAGCAGACAAATTAGTATCTTGACCTAAAAAAGAGATAAAGCTCATACCACTGAGGTCTTGATAACATTATACAAAACCTAAACCAACCTGAGTGAACCATTAATAGCTTCATTTCAAAATAAGTTAGGAAAAAAAAAAAAAATGGAGCAAGTGAAGACATCATGAAGACATGCTGTGCAGAAGATCACACCTTTTTTGTGAAACTCTTAAATTTGTAAACTAAGTTCATAATTGAGGAACACTGGAAGAAAAGGTGTTGGTTTAAGATTCAAATTTGAGCTAGCAAAGAGGCACATGACTGACTATATATAATCTCAGCACCCAGGAGGCTGAAGCAGGAGGATCACCATGAGTTAAAGAGGCCAGTCTGGGGGCTACATGAACAAGTTCAAGTCCAGCCTGGACTGCATGGTGAGTGAGATCCTGCCTCAGGAAAGGCATTTCATGTTTCCCACATTAACCCAGAAAACTTCGCTAACTACAAAAGAGAAAGGCACCGGTAGCTCTCAGCCTATCTACAACTGCCCACATACCATTTTTACACTGAACTATTAGGCAGACTTGAACAAGTAACAAAGGCGTTGCTTGCTATATTGCAAATCCAGGGTACCTACCAGCAGTCAAAAGTACTAATACAACAGATACCATTCTCAGGCTAGTCTGCAGCCACCATACTGAGACAGGATGTCACAGCCACACTGATGACTCTGGGCCTGTGTCATGGTTGACCTGACTCTCTTTGGCATCTTCTAGGAAAACCCCTCCAACTTGACCACTGCCTCTTTCATCTGTCATGAAGCAGCTTTTCTACTTATACTACTATGTAAAACTTCGGCAGAATTTCAACAAATTGTCATTTGTAGGCACATTTAACTCTTTTAAACATGATATTTAACTCTTTTAAACATGATCGGGGGCCAGTCAAATATTTCAGAGGATCAGAACTCTGGTGCGTTATTCAGGGGCATTATTCTGGGGTTATTCCAGGGCCTGACCCCTGGGGGCTCACTGAGGGGATTGAGACTGGGCATGGTGGCTTGGGCCTATAATCCCAGCATTTAGGCTATAAACAGGAGGATCACTATGAGTCCAAATCTACAGTGAGACCCTGTACACCCTATCCTAAATACATAAAATAAACATGATCAGAAATGCCTACATCTAAATTCACCAAATGGGTAATGCAATTATCAACTCAATGAAACAGATTATATTTTTTTTAAAAAAAGCTTGGCGGAGAATGGAAGTAATCATTAATCATCATCCATACCCCCTTCTCTATGTAATACAAAGTTTACCATACTTTCCAAGGAAAAAGAATAAGGCTTCAGTTTTTAAATTCAAAGCTAAAACAATAATTAGGTCTTGCTCTGGCGTGGGCAGGTTTAGTTTTGAGTTCGGCCGGACTGATGTGCTTGGGCAAGTCTTTTAGCTTTCTCGGCAGGAGGTAAGAACGCGGTAGGCTTCCAAAGTCAGTCATTAACTCTATACATTCTCTAATCCTAACCCAAGGAGAATGTTTACAATGGCAAGACCATAACTCCCAATCTTTAGTCTGAGCCCATTCTAAAGCATAAAAAGCTAATACAACAAGCATACAAATGTGCCTGTTTTTGAGATACATATACCAGTCACATGTGACTACAAGCCACTGTCTTTTTCCAAAAACTAGTAATGAACTGAGCTACCTCGCTGATCCCCTCTTGCTTTCATTTCAGTTGGTGTGTATTCCTCTATATTTATGGCCTTCTTTCATTGTTTTTTATTTCTGTCATTTCTTTGCTTGGGGCAATTATCCAAGTATGTCCTCAACATTCCCAAACATTACTGACTGAACATTTCCATTATGAGGAAGGGAAAAATAAAAACTAAGAAGGTATGAATAAAAGATAGGAACTGTTTTTCAAGCATAGCACAGGTGAAATAACCATCTTTAGAAAGACAACATCAACAGGATAAAATAAGCAATTCTCAAGTCTAACTGGTCCAGGCTAAATTTTTATTCCCCACTGTAGTGTTTTACCCTAAAATTACTTCCAAAGACTTCACAGGTAGACCTGAAAAGTCATTCAACTTTTAAGACCCTAAATAAACCCACTTCACAGCACTAAAGGGAAGGAGGTTGGTATAAAACTGACGCGGCTTTCATGGCCTACCAGGAGGTCTTGTTTCACTCATGTGAACTACTGTCTTTGTACCACGTGCTCTGAACTCAAGACCTATTTGCAAAAAGTAGAATGAGAGAATCCAAGAACAGATATCCATTTCAGTCCTCCCTGTGTCTAGCACATTTTAAGCATCCATGTGTTTGCTTGGCAAAGACAAGAGATGGCAGAACACACTGGCCAAGCGTCAGAGTTGACCAGTCAAGGGGAAAGCCGAAGATCTTCATTTTGAGCGTCTAACCTTAAGACTGGAAAGATGAAGAGACTCATCCATCACCAGGCGGGGACAACAGAAAGGCAGTTGATGATCGTAGATTAACTGTTTACTTGCTTTTCTTTTCAAGATAAAAAACCTACTGTTATCTTCAGGATCTAGTGAAAAACCTGCAAAGTTCCTCTATTCAAAAACAAGATAAACGGGGTGTGTTGGCCTCCACCTGTAATCCCAGCTGTCTGGGAGACTCAGAAGAATGGGGCGGAGGAGGGAAGCAAAAAAAAAAAGGTCCAAGACTGGCCTTGGGTTTGATCTCCCTGTACCACCAAAATAATATGATGTCATTAAGAATGCATCTTAACACTGCTAGGTATAACCATGAGTTTGCCTCATCTTACATGGAAGGAGTCCAAGAAACGTTTGGTGGAAGCAATATCCCAATACAACCAACCACATTTAAGCAACTTTCAGTCCTACAAAAAAGTGTTACATTCAACATGTTTGGCAGGAACTGAAGAAAAAGCAGGTCTTGCAAGGTGGGCCACATTGAATCACCTCTACATTTGCTTTGCATTAATTACTCCTTCAACTTCTGAGCTAGTGGGGCGAGAAGGCTGCGGTCTAAGCAAACGCCCCTCGCCAAAAAAAAACTTAATTCCTCTTTGCGTTCCCACCTATGGTTCATTTTCCTGTTCCACTGCGGTGGCACACACGCACAGAACCTTCAGGGAGCCCCTCACCCCCCACTAGCTTCGCTGGCCAGTAGGAGGCCTCCCAAGGCGTTCCTAAAGATGACACTAAAAATTATGTGACAAAACCAACAACCACCAGAGACACTTTCTCAACCCCCCCCCCAATCTGAATGTCTCGCCTTCTTGCTGTCCTCCTTAAATGACAAGTCCCAAGGTAACCATGTTTTGTGCGGACGTCATCCCCACTTCCGACCAAGTTTGTTCAGCTGCCATCCCACGTGCGTTCCCACAGCACTGGAAGAGGGGCCGGCGCTGCGATTGGTGGACACAGCGGCTCCCGCCCGGGGGCGGCAAGGGAGGAGCGCAAGACGCGACCCGGTTCGCGGCGGCGCGGATTGCAACATCGCCGCGCCGCATGTGGCCGGTGGAGCATGGCGCCTTCCCAAGCCCATGTGGGAAGGGCGTCGGGGACGGACACCTGAGCCTCGCCAGCGAAATCCCTCCACTCCACCCTGCCCGTCTCCTCCGGCTCACCCCCCCCCCAACCCCAACCCCGCCGCTAAAAACTCTCCCTTCCCAGATCCCCAGCGGTAACTCCAAAGTGCCAGGCCCACGTGTCCGTCCCTCCCCAACACACGCGGGTGTCCCCAACGCCAACATCGCCTCTCCTTTTCCCTTCGCACCCAGGAATCCTCCACCCCAGTGCCTGCCCGGTGACAAGGCGGAGAACCCGTGCAGTTCGCCGACCTGGGACGCGGAGGGGGCGCGCGGGGCGCAGGGCTGGTGCGTTCCCCGGGGAGCCGCGGCGGCCGGGAGCTGCGGGGACCCAGACTCCGACCCAGCCCGCCCGGTCCCTCATCGTGGCCCCCTCTCCGGCTCGACTCACCAAGAACTTTTTTCTCCGCGTCTTCACCGCCGACGGGGGCCGAAGAGGCGGGGGCCGCGGTGGCAGCGGCTGCTGGGGCCGCGTCCCCACCCGGGGTCCCCGCGACCTGGGCGGCGGGCGCCGCGGCCGCGG